TAAATCCTTTTACAAATAATATGACCTATAACTAAATAAACATAGAGCTAGGAAAATAAATAATGAGGAGTCAAGGTCAAATAAGGCAGTCCTTAAATTATAAACATCCAATAATAAACAATCTATAACAGTACTTGCCCACCTTTTCCATTATCTGAAAATTCTCTGTAGCTGCCATGGCAGTCATTGTGAAAAAACAAAAACCTTATAATTTTTTGATAATGTCTGTACCCAGTGTTCAGAAGTGGAGAAAGGGGCAAGCTGTGAAAACACGCAGAGCTTAGGGGATCTAATCTCACCACAGCCTGCCTAGGATGTAACCTCTTTGATAAGGAATATTTACTCCAAAACTGTTTAAAAACATATAATATAACAAAGATCTACTTACTAAGGATGTTGGAGGGGGGTTAATAAATATTCCTTTTTCAAAAGTGCAAATGCTGTACAAGTGTTATGGGGTTTACGAGTTTCACATATTAGTAGGAGCAGATTCAACTAAATTATTCAAATGGCTAAAATTAATTACACAGAGAGGTTTGAATTTTATTTCTTGTACAATTTCAGGTTTAGAAAAAAGGGACTGGGACCCCATGGCCTGAGGGGCACAAGGAATTGAGAAGAGAGTGCAGAAAGGGAGTTGGGAGGATACGACTGGTTTGTCCATGAGGGGAAAGGAGAAGAAACGTTTTTTACTATGCAGAATGATCCCTCAATGACTGAGACATAGTCTAGTATTAGCAATGCTCTAATGTCTGTATGATAGGGTTTAACATAGGTGGGTTGCCCTGGGAATCTTTTATTGATTCCAATAAAATACATAATATTTGATATTTTACACATAATGTTTCTTATATAGAAAACTATATCCTAGGTAATATACAACCAGCTTACACATAAGTGTTTGGAACACTGTCCATTTTGGATGGAAACACCCTATATTAGAATATAAGCAAAGATCAACATATAAATATTAAAAAATAAGTTTTCATATCCAACAAACCATATTTCCTTGCAATTTAGTAGACAACATTGAATAACCTTCATTTTACAGCAAGTGGAATAACCCTGCTTATCAGATGACACTTCCCTCTATAGCACATGTTATATATTTTTAGATATGCTGGAAATATACTTGCAAAGTCAATCTATTAGGTAAAGACCAACTTTGATAAGTGTCAACTATAAATGATTAATTCTTCTTGAAGTTCAAGACCATTGATGCCGTATTTTCAAAATTGATGATAATTTTTAAAATTTTAACAAATCAGTGTAAGTACTTGGTAACAA